AATGTGCTCCAGGGCTTGCCATCACATCGAAGGTGTTCTCTTCACTGTCTTCTGTATGGTTTGTACGAGGCTGCTCTCTTTATTCTCAGCATTCCAGAGCCCTTTTTTCAGCCCCAAACGAACACGCATCCCTGTAATAGTCCACCTTGTTCAAAGATATTGCATGAAAGTGTGGCAATGATGTTGTGGCAACAGACTTGGTATATGACATCAACAGCCATCCCAGAGCTTATGGACGACCACGAAATTCAAATTGCTTGCAGAAGATGATGAGCATAGGACTTACCAATACCAACTCTCACACCCATCTGGAGCTCAGAAAACTCTATGTGCCACTCTGGAAATGGAAGTTGTGGCATCACTGGTAAAATAGCAGAGGAAGTAGAAGTTTCCCCTGGGCTCTGTGATTCTGAGGCAGATGAGTCACCACAACCGCCAGCAGCTGCATTGGGCTCCCTTGACATCTGTACCAGATTGCGCAGGGCCAAACTTCGTGTTCGGATTGCGGCAGCCTCCTCCTCAGAGACAGAGCCTCGTCCCTTTGATGGGTAATCAATTCCCATCCGGTCAAATCGGTGCAAGAATGCTTCGTCGACTGAATCCATCGAGTCAAAACTGTTCCTCCGGCGACACATTGAACAGACCTGATACCAGAAGATGAGAGAAAGGAAGATACATCACGGCAATAGTGGGGATGTGACACTGCTGCTCCCGTAGCATGTCTCAATAATAACACAGAGCAAGGAGACTTCGTAAAAAAAACGCAGTTGGGAAAAAAAGTGATGTGTTTCATGTAGCCACCACACTCTCTATAGTTAGGGGTTCAGGAGTGCTTGTAAGGCAAAATGAATGAACCACTGGGACTGGCTGCTCTTTCGTAGCCTTGACTGCACAAGACCTGCCTGGGCTCGCCTCCTCCAACGGCAGCCCAGATTTGCTGTGGGCCCCAATGTGCCTGGACCCGGAACAAATGAACTGTTCATTGTGCAACAGATCTGTGCTGTGGTTGACTTCTGTGAAATCTCTGACTCCTGGTCCACTTTTTCCGAGTTGGGCCTGACTCTTGATTTTCCATGAGTGAACTGTCTCACACAAGGGCACAAGTTGCCTCTTCTCAACCTGGACCCTATATCAGCTGACCTTAGAACTTTTCTCAGAGCTCTCTACGACAAGAGACCTGGACCCTCGCCTATGTCTTTGCAGATTCTGACCTGAGTTCATTGCAATTGTGCACGATAGTAACTCCATGCCACCGACAGGCCAACGAGACAGAACCATGTCCATGGCAGTTACATAGACTACCCAGATCAGGCCTTCCCCACCTTAGAGGACATGCCATAAACCACCAGTGCTTTTCCATTCCGATGCGGCCGTATGCGGCCGTTAACGCACTGCCACTTTTGGGGCAGCATCAGCCAAAAAGACTCTGATCGCGCCCACGCCAGTTCGTCAGAACTCTGCGTGCAGCAGAAATCTTCATCGCGAAAAAGAGGCTAGGAAGTACTGGTAGTTTAAGTGCATCAGGAAAGTGAGAGTAAAAAAGGCAATCAATGGGATTTTCCAAGCAGCAGTAGCCTCAATCATGCTGTGAAAGCGCAATGAATAAGGTGATGGAATGTACTAGATAACTGTACAGCATTGACTGGATCAAACATAGGCAAACAAGTTGCAGGTGTGTTCGAGAGAACTGCTCATCCACAGGCAGGGGACGCACACAGAAATCAAATATTGGACCACAACGAGCTATTAGATTGTTCCATTCCAGGTGAGTCCCTGGTTGATTACATGGCAAGGTTCCTCCCCACCACATGGATTCAGTGAGGCAGGTGCACCAACATGATGTCTTCGGAAGGAGCGATTTGGAGGAGATAAGGGTCAGTACACAATCTGATAATCCACACAGCAAAGTCACGTGCTATTCAGAATGAGGCTGACAGTCATTTACACAATACACATGAAGACAGTTCACCAACACAAAGCACAACTAATGTAGGATGGGAGGAATGTGCTAAAATATAGGGATTGCTACGGCAGCCTTCAGGACATTAGCTGGCTACAACCATACAATCAGTATCTGAAAAAATTACAGCACCCATTCGCAAAATGACACATGCACCTGAACTTCCACATATGCATGAGTGTATCTCACGCAGACAGGAAAAGTCCAGAAGCATCTCACTAATTCTCTCATGGGCCAAATTTCAGCAAGGACGTTTTCTTCTGCCAAAGGTACAGTGCAGCATTTTGCATCTCCGAGGCTCTACCTGGTGCAGAATGCCCAGGTGGTCCCAAATTCTCTCATTCTAGCACGTGCACATTTGGATCAAATTCAGAACGACAAGTAGACAACCATGACACAGACAGGGAATCAAACTTGTTGACGGTGGCTGCGTAATCTTCGACAATGGGAGATAATCAAATTCCAAAGTGCTATCATTGTGGAGAACCAGCCCACTTATCGCGTGGTTGTATCAAACCGAGAAGACCAAGAACAGAGAACGGAGGGAACAGCACGGCATCGACCTCGGAGAGTAATGCTGAACGGCGGATCGTGCCAGTCAATGGACCTGGAACGATCCAACCAGCTCACCACCAAGGCGATGTCAGATGCCTGGCTGTCTATGTCTGTTCTACAGATTGGCTGACTACTAAGCCGCTCTCCTGCTGTGCGCCCTGTGTGCATGGTGCTTGAACACGTGTACTTCACGACTGTTCTAGCATGACACAGGACATTTTCTTGTGCCTAAGGTACACTGCAGCATTTTGCATCTCAGGGGCTCTACCTGGTGCAGAATGCCCAGGTGCTCTCTAATTCTCCAACTGTAGCACGCGCACATTTGGATCAAATTCAGAACGACAAGCAGACAACCATGACAGGAAGTAATCAAACATACTGGTAGCACTTATCTTGACGCACATTTCCACGACTTCCACCCGCATTTGCATTCCCACTGCGTGACCCTGAGCCTCTCGGAGAGCCCACCGACACCTCAGCTGTTCCTGGCTTCTCGTCAGGTCGTGCTTGATTCTGATCGGCAAACCGTTCGTCTTTCGTATCTTCAATTTCCTTTGAATGCCGCCTTTGCAGTTTGAAAGCTTCATTAACTGCACGAACTGCCCTGTTTCACGAAAGACATGTCATTCTCATCTGCCCATAAAATCACAATTGTTACCAACATCCTCAACAACACATCTTTGGCCCATGATAACGTTTGAACTTTCACAATCACTGTTCTAACCACAGTAGAGAGCACAAATGCTCCATAGCAACGACAGAACGCATCAATGTTCAAATCACAGCCTTGCTCGCTATGCTCTTCATGGTGAAGACGAAAAGATACCTGCACGCTTGTACCCATACACAATACCCGGTACCCACACACACCTGTGACCATACACAATTGCATGACCAAACCACTTAGTGGCTAAAACCCTATGCACCCGACCGGTCCACGGGTCCCACATGGGCCACTATAGGGCCCAACCGGTAGGTTTAGGGGTAGGACCGGGCTAGAGGTCTGTTAGGTGTCGTTTCAGGCCAAGGTTAGGAGAACTAACAGGTCCAGATTAGGCCCTGGGCACCGTTTCGCTAGGTGCCAGGCCCAGTTCAGGTTAGGCAGGCCCGAGTTCCATTTGGCCGCATTTCGTTAGGCGCCAGGTACCAGTCGGCAGTTTGGCAGTTTAGGCACCAAGTTGGTTTAGGCGGCAGATTCGTTTTGGGCGCCAGTTTAGGCACCAGTCCGTTTTTGGAGACAACCTCTTCTCCTCCGAGGCTGGGCCAGTGCTATATATAGCTGGCCCGCCTCAGCTGTAGGTAGGTAGTACCAGCAGTCGACATAGGCAGACGCTGTAATCGTCACAGCGTGTTAGGACACGACACCGAGCTTGGGCTGCAGCACGCTGCAGCAGGAGCAGGGAGTAGAGTTGAGATGGGTGGAGGCCAGGGGACTTACCTGTCGACTTACCTGTCACGCCATAGCTCCAGCTTCGTCTTCACCACGTCCGTACCTGCATCAAGGCGACGTCTTTTAGCAGGTCAGTACCTAGTATGTCACACACACACACACACACACACACACACACACACACACACACACACACACACACACACACCTGTCTCTTATACACATCTAGATTTGCACACACACACACACACACACACACACACACACACACACACACACACACACACACACAGAGAGAGAGAGAGAGAGAGAGAGAGAGAGAGAGAGAGTTGACATTGACACTTGGTGACATTTCGGGCTTCGCCCAGCTCCGTGATATTGCACCTTGACATTGTATGAGCAGCGACCTTGGGGATACATTGGAGACTGGGTTCATCGGCCTATGGTGGCGGATCCTCCCTATCTCGCTCTTCCCTTCGTCTCTTCTCCCCTCTTCGTCCATGGATGAATCTAAACTCAGCGCCCCTTCCATGATTGATGCGCTGAGTCCCCCCTCACATGAATGATGATGATGGTTGTCAGTCCCGTCATTCGGCCCTGCTGAGTCAGATCTGGGTATTTCAGTCTTCCGTTGTGCTATTTTGTATTGTCTCTGAGAGGTTGGTTCTTGGTTCTGACCGATGCCGATTAGGCATGCGACACCTGGGAGTGGACGGCCAGGTGACCATCCAGATCACCCAGCCGTTCACCTGCCCAGGATGCCCCCAGCATGTAGGAACCACGGCAGTAATCCAGACTACTGGGGAGGGATCTGGATGGCCGGATTTTGGTGTCTGGATCCATAGCATGGATCACAATCTGAATGGTTGGGCCTTGGGCAAGGACAGTTTTTCCTTTTGGCAGCCCAGTGCGCTCTACCACTCCCTGGCCTGCACGGGAAAAATAAGGTCCTCATTTTGTGTTACATGCTGCGCCTGCACACGCGGGCCATTTTCCAGGCCCTGCGTCCTTCAGGTCGAAAGCCTGAATTTCAGGCCGAAAGCCTGAATTTCAGGCCGAAAGCCTGAAATCCAGGCTTACAGGCCCCATGTCGGTTCAGCCCGAAAGCCTGAATTCCAGGGCCTATACCTGCGTCGTTTCAGACTAAAAAAGGCAACAGCCTTTTTAGCCTGAAACGAAGGGCCATTTTCGGTCGTTCATCAGAACAACCGGCCCTGAAACTCAGGCACGGAACCAGGGTTTCGGGAACAGGCTATTCTTAGCCTGTTCCCACGCCAGCCTCAAGCAGCTGCTGCAGCGCCAGCCCCTGGCACACTTCGGCATTGGCAAGAGCAGCCTCCTCAGCCTGGCTCGCCCTTCAGGCAGTCAGGAGGCAGGCCGAGGTAGTACATAGGAACTTCCCATGCACTTCACGAGGCAGGCAGGAGGCAGTTGTAGTCCTCAGGATTCGGGAGCAGCACTCTGGAGGGAGCGCTGCAGGGAGTAGTAGTAGCGTTAGCCTTTAGTCTTCAGCGCTGGGCGCAGTAGGTAGCTGTAGTCTCCAGCGCTGGGCGCAGTAGGTAGCTGTAGTCTCCAGCGCTGGGCGCCATAGCTAGGATAGCACTAGAGAGAGAGAGAGAGATTGGGCGGAGGCCTTGGGTACTCACCTGCAGCGCCGTTGCTCCAGCTTCGTCTTCGAGGTACCTGCAGCACAGCGCCAACATCACAGGTTAGTATCTGGCTTGTAACAGAGAAAGAGAGAGTTCTTCTTCTTCCTCTTCTCAGACCACCATCTCCTTCTCCCCCTCTCATCATCTGACTTCACTGCATCTGCAGACTACGAGAGAAGAGAGACAGAGCTTGGTGACATCGGATCCAGACTCGACTTTTGGACTTCAGACATTATAAGGAGGGACTATTTGGGACTTGTGACAAAGACTTGGTGTTGACGACATTCCCATCTCTCTCCCTCCTTTCGTCCGATTCCCTCCTCTTCGTCTGCGTATGTCTGGACCTGGCGCTTTCTTCCTGTGTACAGCGCCAGGCTCCTTCACACTTGGTGATGGATACGATGTATGTTTGGTCTGCATTCAAACATTGATTGGGCTAGTCATTAGCATTCTAGCATTCTGCTTCGCTATCTTTTGCTACGTGAATGAGGTCAGTCCCGGTCAGGTCAGGACTTGTATCTAAATCTTCCACTGCGCTATTCAGCACCATTTTGTATGTATGAGAATGCACATTGCTCGTTGAGATTCTACTTGCACTGAATTGTCCATTCTGTCCTTTTTATCACATTGCGGATCCTCGGTTATGATGTATATCGCTCACCTGAGCATGTAACAGTTGGTATCGGTGCACCGCACGTGAATCAGGACAACCTGATCTGACACGTGTGCGGGGACTAAATAGCTGATTAGTCTTTATTGATTGATTAGAGCACATTAGTTAGACCCCAAAATCACCATTTTGACCTTACTACCGAAAATCGATTTTTTTTTTCTTTTCTTGGATTTTATTTTCTCGCTATTCTGTGGTGGAAAATTGCATTAGTGCAACATCTGAAATCTCCATTTTCGTTTTTCTTCCGAAAATACAAAATTTCGTTGTTAAAAATCCGGAATATTTTTCTTTTCAAAAATTTCGATTTCCTGTTGCATTTTCCGTTACTTAGAAATTCGGAATATCTTCTGTTTCGAAATTCGTTTTTCTGAAAACGGTACGGAAAATCCCTCCTGCAGGTATTATTTTCCAAACAGCGAATATTCTCATCTGAGAAAATTCGAATACTTGTCATTTCTTTTCGGAAATTTTTCTCGCAGTTCTAGGATCCTGTTAGTCAGTTCTATAATCATTTGCAGTCTGAAGCCGAAATTTTTTTCTCTCCATTGATCATTTCGAACGTCAAGGGAGATTGGGAGACCTACTGAACTTGCAAAAGTCGGGATTTTTATTTTTCTCGAATTTTTTTTTCGCAAAGTTCAAACTTTTCTTTTTTTGATTAGTGGCTCCTTATCTGGGCGATTCTTCCCACCCACCCTCCCCATCTATGTTGTTGCCCCCTCTGGCCTTACCTTCTCTGCCTATCTGCGGGTACCCCCTGCAACGGCATTGGTGAGTTGCCACGTCAGCAGGCCACGTCAGCAGGACACGTCAGCAGGCCACGTCAGCCGACAGAGCAGGAATACCACGTCAACAGGCCCCCGGCTTGGTACATGCTGTTGCGGTCACAGACAGCCGTCATGGACCAGAGGCCCGGTGAAGCAGACGAGGCCTGTCGGGCCTGGATGCTGGCTTGGAGTACCGAGACAAAGAAACGGGCAGATGACGCAGCTGCAGCAACGAAGAAGAAGGCAGAGGATGCCGAGCAGGCACGTCTGCTGGCACTTGAACAACAGCGCCAGCATGACGAGGCAGCAGCAAGGGCTGCCGATGAAGAAAGGAACCAACGTCGTGAGAAGATATTTAGCGGAGAGCGGACCTTGCTCACAATGGCAGCGGAATGGCGGACCGAGGCTGAGAATGGCAAGTTGGAGGATTGCGAAAACAAGATCGCCCTTCTCCTCTCGCATCTCACATACCTCCTGGCTACATGCATTACGCAGCAGGAGGATATCCACAGCCTCGACGGTTCGCCAGCTAAATTACAAAACCGCGTGCAGCAGCTGGAGCAGCGACCTGTCGCCGCACCCGATGCAAGCTCTTCCACTACCTCCGATCGCCTCGAAGCATTGGAGATGCACGTCGGCTCCCTCCAGGACGGCGCACAGTTACAGCAGACCGCAACGCAACAGTTGCAGCAGCGGATCTGTACCACCGCCAATACCTCGAGTTCGGAGCCTCGCGAGACAGCTCCAAAGTTTGACGGGCTGGAGATCTTCTGCGACTCGATCAAGACAGATCCGATTCCATGGTTCCGCAAGTTCGAGCTCACACCGCAGCTCCATAACGTCAAAGAACACAAGCACCACGCATACTTGTACTCTCGCTCAGAGGGAGCGTGTCAGGCTTGGTTGGACAACCTCTTGTCCAAGTACTGAGTGGTAGCTGCCGACTTGCACACCAAGATCAGTTGGGATGATCTGAGCGCGGCGTGGCACAAGCGGTACCAGGTTGAGCCGACGGAGATCAAAGCTATGGACAAGCTCATGGTCTTCGAACAAGGCACGCTGCCGAGTACCGACTGGATCGCCGAGTACCAACGCTTGACATCAGTCCCAGACATCCAGATGGGCTTCAAAGCCATCCGCCATTACTTCATCTCAAGGTCCTGTCCGACATTAAGTAATGCCCTGACTCACGTCGAGGACACCTTGACGTCGACGGCGGAACTTTTTACAAGGCCGCGCAGATCATCATTACGAACAAGGAGGCGAAGAATCTGCGTTCGTCTGCGGCAGGCCCGAGTAGGGACCAGCATCGGCCAAGAGTGGTCGTGGTTGCGGCAGCAACGCCGTTTGACCAAACCAGCGAGGTTGTGTCTGCCAGTGAAGGGGACAGACTCGCAGCCGCCCGAGAAGGTGGCCGCCCCAGTAGAGGCCAAGGATGCGGCAAACCGAAGACAAACACCGCATCTAGCCCCGGGCCCGGTGCAACAGCTCCAGCCCCTTGGACCCAATACGGCATCTCCGAGCTACCATTCAAGGCACGCACGAGATTCCACCATTGCCTATGGTGCAACAGTGATCTGCATCAGACACCGGTCTGCCCATTGAAAGGCAAGGGCAAACAGGGAAATTGAGCACCGCCGAGAGTGACTCGACAACACTCTCGACACCTCTAGAACTGGTTTCTTCGCGAGTAGCCGGCCTTCATTCAGAGGCGCACGCGGAAGTCGATAGTCCTCCTCTTCTACTTTCTCTTGAGGACTATGCTGCCCGGCTCGTTCCTACGCTGGGTACTCAAGCTCAAGGACAAGAAGTGTGTACGGTTTCTTCTCCGTCCGGCAGTGGCGACATATCGTCTTCAAGTGGTGCTTCACGGGAATCGACAAGCGAGTTCAACATAGAGGTATTGGACCCGCTCACGTCCGAGGACTTTGCATGGCTATGCGCAACACTATGCGCTCATCTCCACACTTACTTATCCTTCTATGCACCACCATTCGCTGACGGGAGACGAAGTCGTGGTGGGGGGCATCCTTGCGTATACTACCAAGGTGGCCCGCGAGTTTCGCACGCAGCGGTACGATGACAACAACGCACCGCTCATGTATGTCCGCATCCAGGTTGGGCAAGCGTCCTGCAGCGCTTTGCTGGATAGCGGCGCGTCTCGCAATTTCATGAGCCAATCCTTTATGCAAAGGGCTAGCCTTGCCGCACAAGTTCGGAGGAAGGCGAACCCGACGGCGATCAAGGTGGCGGATGGGAAAACGCAGCAACTTCTCGACCGTCACATTGAGGTCGTACCGGTCATATTCGCACCTCATGCATGCGAACCGGTGACATTCGATATTCTCGATAAGGACTTCGACATCATTCTGGGAATGCCTTGGCTTGCAAGTGCGAATCACACGGTCAACTTCCACAGGCGGACTCTTAGCGTTCGCGACGCCTACTATTCCTCTACCGCACCCTTCGATTCGGTGCCAAGTGGTGACGGCGAAATCATTCAGGGCGACTTGCGCTTACGAGCAGCCCGATGAGATCAGCCTATGTTTCCTACGGACCGTCGCGGTAGTCGACGACTCACCCACGGACTTGTCTCCGGACCCCCGGGTGGTGCGGTTGCTGGACGAGTTCGCTGACATCTTCGAGTCACCTACCGGTGTGGTGCCGGATCGGCCGATCTCTCACGAGATCATTCTTGAGACCGGTGCCGTGCCGCCAAAAGGTTGCATCTATCGCATGAGCGAGGAGGAGCTTGAGGTCCTCCGCGCACAACTCGACGATTTGTTGGCTAAGGGCTGGATCCGCCCTAGCAGCTCCCCATATGGAGCACCGGTCTCTTCGTCCGGAAGAAGAACAAGGATCTACAATTGTGTATCGGCTACCGCAAGCTCAACGCGCAAACCGTCAAGAATGCGGGGCCTCTTCCTCGCATCGACGATCTTCTTGAGCGACTGGGCGGCGCAAAGTATTTCTCTAAGTTGGATTTGAGATCAGGATATCATCAAATCTCGATCCGACCGAACGATCGCTACAAGTCCACGTTCAAGACGCGGTACGGGCATTTTGAGTGGGTGGTCATGCCTTTTGGCCTCACCAATGCCCCGACGACCTTTCAAGCGGCAATGACCAATGAGTTCCGTGCAATGTTGGATCGGTTCGTGCTGGTCTACTTAGACGATATTCTCGTCTATAGTTGGTCATTGGAGGATCATCTTGGACATCTTCGACGAGTGTTGGAGATGCTCCGCCGCGCCAAGGACAAGGCCAACCACGACAAGTGCGAATTTGTCTGGCAAGAGCTGGAATACTTGGGCCATTTTGTCACACCGGAGGGCATCAGTCCGCTATCGGACAAGATTCAAGCCATCCAAGAGTGGCCGGAGCCTCGGAACGTCACGGATGTCCGCTCGTTCCTTGGTCTCGCCGGCTACTTTCAGTGTTTCATCAAAGGCTACTCGAAGATCGCGGCCCACTTGACCAAGCTTCAATGCGAGGATCGGTCGTTTGACTTTGGAGAGGAGGCGCGGGAATCATTTATGGCTCTCAAAGCCGCGCTATTATCTGCGGAGGTCTTGCGGATATACGACCCGCTCTTGCCTACGCGCGTCACTACGGATGCGTCAGGCTATGGCATTGGTGCAGTCCTTGAGCAACATGATGGTGTGGACTGGCACCCGGTCGAGTATTTCAGCAAGAAAGTGTCTGTCGTGCATTCCATTGACGATGCACGCAAGAAGGAGTTCTTTCGTCCACGTGCTCAAGAGGTGGCGGCACTTCCTCCTTGGTCGAAGCCAATTTCGATGGGTAACGGACAACAATCCGTTGGTCTTCTATAAGACCCAAGACACCGTCAACAGCACCATCGCTCGATGGATGGCTTTCATTGACGAGTTTGACTTCTTTCCCGATCACATTCCCGGGAAGTTCCAGTTCCGGGTCCGCGAACTCGCACCCTGCCTGCCATACTAACTGCCATGCTCCTTCGAACATGTTTAGTGGGTTTTCCCCGGACGCCAATAGGACCTCGAACGCGCGACATCCATCCTCCGACATATACAACCATCCTTCTGCGCGCACATGCCCCCGCGGGTCAGGATTCCACTTGCCATCCCCATCTGCATCCCATTCGACCTTTGTTACCAGGTAAACCGTGTTCTCCATGAGTTCGATCCCAATCCAGTCCACCACTCGGTGCCAGACCTCATTTACCGTTGGTAGGCTGATTTCTATGCCGCCAGTCACTTCCCTTGGCGGCTCAATCCCCAACGGACGATCCTCGAGGAACGTCCTCCTTCGTGCCATTGCGTATCGTATTTCCGCCTTTGGTTCCTATCCTGTGACGCAGCAGTGATTTCCACAGTATTCGGACACCCCATCCCCTGTCTTAGTACTTTACTTCTGGCTGGTCTACATAGTGTACATGCTCTCCATTCTGCATTGCCCCCAATTTTTCCTTGGTCTTCCTTTCTTTTCCCCCTACCCCCTAGCTTACCCTGCTAATTCGGGTTTTTCCTGCTCCTAATCGAACCACATTACCTCGAATAATTTGAACACATCATCCACATAGCAGGGCGTAGCCGCTACCTCCCTGCGGATTATGACCTCCCTCACTTCTGGGGCTACCTCTAACTGATCGTATTTGTCCATATTCAGAATGATGAGGACTTCCCAGACTTTGTCACCGTGGAAGGGCCCATATTTCAGCGATATTTTATAAAATTCCTCTGACAGCCACGCAAAATCTACGTGTATCCGCTCCATAGTACCTGCCACTTCTGCGACGTGGTCAAAAACCCCAAACCAATTTGCTATGAACTCGGATACCCAAATTTTTGTTTGTAGGCAGGGAGGCCTAAACTCCCTCCATCCCCCCATCACAACCTTACTATGGACCACATCCCACCCCCTGTTGGCAAACCTCTCGCCTGCCCTCCGAGTCTTTGCCTCCGCATTCTTTAGAAGCCACATCGGACTCTGTCCCGCCGCAAACGTAGTGCAAAATAGGTGCCACCCTCGCTCGGAAAGGATCACTGTCCCGACCGATTCCACCTTCCCTTCTGCGATCTTGTCCCACCCTTCTTCTTCTCTTGTCGGGTTCCGGATACGTTCTATCCAAAGGTATGTTAATTCCAGTGCGATCTCAAGCCCGATCCAATCACATTTGGTTCCTCTCCATTCATTATCCGCTGGTATGGGCATCTCTACTCCCCCTTTGATTCGCTTCAGCTCCCATCCTTTAAACGTACAGTCCCTTAGCAATAGATCCCTGGCCATCGTCCCTTCCTGCACAGAGCCGACGACTCATTCCCCCCGGATAAGCCTCGCTTCTCAGAAGTCTCAATCCTCTATCTCGTCATCGTCCCCACTGTCGCTGAAATCATCCTCCCCGTCATAGAACAATTCCTCAGTCCTTCTAAGAAGGTTTCCCCTACTGGCACATTTCGGTTAACTATCTGCCAATGTACTGGGCAAGGGTCATCGGTGCTAAGGTAGTTCAACATCTCGGCTAATTCTTTCGTCCAGTTTCCTCTGAAAGGTCCCATTTCTACCGACAACCTGAAGAAGTCATGCCGAGCACACTGATACAACCTCAGGTTTGTCATTGACTGACATATCTGCACTAATCTACTTCGGGTTCCAAAGACCGTGTCCACTAGACATCTCATCTTTCTGAGGGGTCGCCTCTCATCCCTTCTGTCTCCAATTTCCACTCGCACCTCTACTTTGTCCATTTCCATTTCCGCCCGCTGACACACTGCCCATACTACCTTCCGTTCCGCCTGCCTAAATAGCGAGTCCGGCGCAGTTCCCAAAACCAAGTCTACCACCATCGCATTTTCACTATCCTAGGATAGGTAGACCCACCCTCGGGCTTCCACCGTCCCCCGGAATTCCAAGTCCATTAATCTCGGTGACAATCTCGTCAGGCTGACCTTAGTCCATATCGTCTCTATCCAGAGGAACGCGTCCTTCTCGTCCAGCATCACAGTTTGATAGGCTGGCTCCGGGTCTGTCCATGTTCCTTCTTCCGGGAGGACGACGGATACCCCATCTTTTACATCTATCGGCATTTCCGGACCACTGGAATAGATTGGAGACGACAGCCACCACACCATCTTGTTTTCCAGCCCCGGTTCCTGTTTTCCATAAGAGAGCACCGCACGGCCCCTTCGGTCAGGCTAACCTATTTCCTAGATGAGAATTATTTCAGACCCCTCATCCGGGTCTCCCTAGTTTTATCCTCCCTTCCCCAAGTATCATCCCTCTATTCCACCGTCGGTCGGTCACCACGTCCCACATTCCTTTTCTTGGTTCCATTTCATTCGACCCCTACCCTCCATCCTTTCCAATTTCTCTCACTCGTGCGGACTTAAGACAAGAGGAGGGAGTAGACTTAGAACCTTGGTCCCTCCCAACAGTTCAAGCAGTCTTAATCAACCGGCGTGACAAACTCCCGTCCGACAGCTCGGTGGCATTTGACCTTTGCACATGAGACCTGGCGAACCCCAAAGAAAACGACGTTTCACAACCCGCACCAGCTGGTGCAGACCCACCCTTTCCTTCCGAAATGGCAGGACGCTCAATTCCCTTTGCATGCAAACCACAAGTCCCAAGTGGGACACATATAAACAAATGTCTCCCCCTAGGTGCACCCAACGCTTCCTACCCATATCTCACGATTTTCTCTCAGGACAGTGTGTGCCACTCCCCCTATTGTCCATGCATAGTGGCTGGTTCCTTTTCGTGAGCATCTTCAAAGGTGAGCTAGTTTTTTTTTTTTTCTTTGGAGTCTGGCAACTCCCTTCATTCCCCTTATCTTTCGTTGTCTGTCCTTTCATAGGGTAGGATTGTTCCTTTTTGATAACCGTTGTGTTCATGTTGGTTCCTTCAAGCATTTCAAGTGTATAGTGCATGAGCCCGCTGGGTTCAGAAAAAGAAAAAAGAAGAGCACCCAGCCGGTCGGATCACTCCGTCGCGGGATTTTCATTGGACCCCGGCTGAAGCCGAAGCACCAACCGCCTGCCAGGTAACCGGAGCCCTTCTTTCACACGAAGAGGAAGGGTCGACCTTCGACTCGCTTTAGGCTTCCCCGGACTGGCGAACACCAGCACCGGAGGAAGGGGGGCTAGAGCTACTCCACTGAGGAGTACACTAATAAGGTGCAAGCATGCATGTTATACCTCCAGGCCTGGCCATGCCATGCGCCCAGCTGCCCTCAAGTCTGATTCTCTCCAGGGGAAGAGCAAGCACAAGTCCAATTTCTCTCTTTTAGTTGTGTACACGGTCACGCATCGGGCGCCTGCCTTCGGAATCGCAAGGGTCAGTTTAACCCAATACCCGACACCTCCACCATTTTTTTGTAGGACCGTACCCTGATAAACTTTCGAGTCTGTGTCGACCCCACTGCGGGTCCCAGTTGGCTCTGCTCCGCTCACGTTCAAGCTCAGGGCGCGGAGCATTCGTCACAGGGGCACCCCCACCTAGTGCTATGGGATGGATGGGGATGGGCCGTTTGCGAGAGAGCTTTGACATTGGGGATATAGCTCCGCTCTCGCGCTAGATGGTAGCTTTACGGTCACTCGCGGCGCTTTCTTGATTCATTTAGATGTGGCCAGGTAATTGCTCCTTCCAATACACAAGCATTCCAGGGGAGGTTTATTGAGAATCTTTCTCCTTTTGTGCGCAGGCTAAGCGTTATCCTTAGGCCACGCACCATTTTCCTAATAACACATCAGTCTCACGACATCATCGGGGCGCGGTCGCGCCGTCCTACCCCTAGCCCCTATATATCGTCAGATAGAACTGCCCGGTAAACCGTAGGCAGAGAGGGAGAAGAGGACAACAAACGAGGGGCTATATATATATATATATATTTTTTTTTTTTTTGGTCCATGCATCCCATGCATAACTCCGTTGCCTGCCCTTAGTCCTTTCGGGCCTCCGTATTGCATGCAAAGAATCAATACAAGCTTTCATCATGCAACGCCACACCCCTTTTCCGATCCTTTGTTCCAAAGCATCCTATACCAAGGCCCGCCCGCGTTAGAGTTTACACTAGAGCCTAAGGCCCTCCCATCCGATCCTCTTTCTCCCTTTTCGCCTGTGTACCCCTGACCCAGTCCCGCTCAAGTCATTCCAAGCTACTCACCTGCACAATCCCACACAAGCAAAGACCGATACAATCCCCCAATGGGGTCAACACATTGCCCTTCCTGCAAGCCCAAGTTCCTTTCTCTTCCATGGTTCTTTCGGCTTTCCATCCCTTTCCACAGTCGAGCCATGCCTCTTGCTTAGTCATGCAGCGGGGGAAATGGTTGAGTCAACTGACCTTGTGCCAAGCTCTCACTCTCCCACTTTCTCAAGGACTTTGTCTTCCCAAATCCTCAAGGGTTTTCCTTTCTCCTTCTTGGTGGCGCAAGGGACCGACAACCCCTCCCTTGCCCTCTTTCTCCACCAAGTGAGAACATATTCCTTCTCCGTTCGTTCCTTGACAATGTAACAAGTGAGTTGGCGAAGGGTTAGTCACGTGCCAAGACGGAAGAGGAGGGGGAGGGAAAGGTGAAGGTCAAGGCTTTAGGGTGTGAGAGAGAGGGACAATGATGGGAAGGGGGGGGAGATGGCGGCGGATCAGGAGGAGGAAAAAGGAAGAGAAGAAGGAACGAGGGTCAGGAAAAAGATATAGAGAGGTAGATAGCTAGATAGATAGATAGAGGGAGGGAGAAAGAGGAAGAGAGAGAGAGAGGGAGAGAGAGTGGGAAAGAGAGAGAAAGAGAAAGAGACTTCCTATTCCTAATCAACCTTACTCCTTTGCTTGTCCTACCATCCTGCCTAAAGTTCCTTGCGCTCTTTGGTGCCCCTTTGCCTATGACCCTTGAGTGGCGGAAGAAAGCGGAGGAGGGAGAAGGTGTGCGGTGGTTGGCTATGGAGGATGGGTGAAGAGGCTGGAGGAGGAGGAAGATGCGAGGTGGTCGGCTATGGTGGATGGGTGAAGGAGATGGAGGAGGGAGAAGGTGCGGGGTGGTTGGCTATAGAGGATGGGTGAAGAAGATGGAGGAGGAAGAAGGAGCGAGGTGGTTGGCTATGGTGGATGGGTGGAGGTGGAGGAGGAAGAAGGTGCGGTGTGGTTGGCTATGGAGGATGGGTGACGAGGATGGAGGAGGAAGGAGGGGAGGAGGGAGAAGGTGCGGTGTGGTTGGCTATGGAGGATGGGTGAAGAAGATGGAGGAGGAAGAAGGTGCGAGGTGGTTGGCTATGGTGGATGGGTGAAGGAGGTGGAGGAGGAAGAAGGTGCGGGGTGGTTGGCTATGGAGGATGGGTGAAGAGGATGGAGAAGGAAGGAGGGGTGAAGGAGGTGGAGGAGGAAGACGGTGCGAGGCGGTTGGCTATGGTGGACGGGAGAAGGAGGTGGAGGAGGAAGAAGTGCGGGGTGGTTGGCTATGGAGGACGGGTGAAGAGGATGGAGGAGAAAGACGGTGCGAGGTGGTTGGCTATGGTGGACGGGTGAAGAAGATGGAGGAGGAAGAAGGTGCGGGGTGGTTGGCTATGGAGGACGGGTGAAGAGGATGGAGGAGGAAGATGGAGCGAGGTGGTTGGCTATGGTGGACGGGTGAAGAAGATGGACGAGGGAGAAGGTGCGGGGTGGTTGGCTATGGAGGATGGGTGAGGAAGATGGAGGAGGAAGAAGGTGCGAGGTTGTTGGCTATGGTGGATGGGTGGAGGTGGAGGAGGAAGAAGGTGCGGGGCGGTTGGCTATGGAGGATGGGTGAAGAAGATGGAGGAGGAAGAAGGTGCGAGGTGGTTGGCTATGGTGGATGGGTGAAGGAGATGGAGAAGGAAGAAGGTGCGGGGCGGTTGGCTATGGAGGATGAGTGAAGAAGATGGAGGAGGAAGAAGGTGTGAGGTGGTCAGCTATAATGGATGGGTGAAGGAGATGGAGGAGGAAGAAGGAGCGAGGTGGTTGGCTATGGTGGATGGGTGAAGCAGATGGAGGAGGAAGAAGGGGCGAGGTGGTTGGCTATGGTGGATGGGTGAAGGAGGTGGAGGAGGAAGAAGGTGCGGGATGGTTGGCTATGGAGGACGGGTGAAGAGGATGGAGGAGGAAGACGGTGCGAGGTGGTTGGCTATGGTGGACGGGTGAAGAAGATGGAGGAGGAAGAAGGTGCGGGGTGGTTGGCTATAGAGGATGGGTGAAGAAGATGGAGGAGGAAGAAGGTGCGAGGTGGTTGGCTATGGTGGATGGGTGAAGGAGGTGGACGACGAAGAAGGTGAAGGGACCCTATAAAAAAATGGAAAGTGGTGATTCACATGGGAGTGAAAGAATGTACAAAACATGAGTGAAAGATCATCCAAAACACTAGAATGAGCATAAACCAAAGTTGCGATTTACTACCAAGTGAAGAATTGAAGAGAAAGTGAAGGGAGAGTGAGTGAAACTCACTCTCATGCAAGAAATCACAAAATGGAAAGTGGCAATTCACATGAGAGTGAAGGAATGGACAAAACAAAAATGAAAGATCATCCAAAACACTAGAATGAGTACAAACAAAAGTTGCGATTTGGTACCAAGTGAAGAAATGGAGAGAAAGTGAAGGGAGAGTGAGCGAAACTCACTCTCATGCATGGAATCACAAAATGGAAAGTGGCGATTCACATGGGAGTGAAGCAATGGACAAAACAAGAGTGAAAGATCATCCAAAACACTAGAATGAGCACAAACCAAGTTGCGATTTACTACCAAATGTCGAAATGAAGACAAAGTGAAGGGAGAGTGAGTGAAACTCACTTTTATGCATGAAATCACAAATGGAAAGCGGCGGTTCATATGGCAGTGAAGAAATGGACAAAACAAGAGTGAATGATTATCCAAAACAATAGAATGAGCACAAACCAAAGTTGCGATTTACTACCAAGTGAAGAAATTGAGAGAAAGTGAAACGAGAGTGAGTGAAACTCACTCTCATGCATGAAATCACGAAATGGAAAGTGACGATTCACATGGGAGTGAAGGAATGGACAAAACATAAGTGAAAGATCATCCAAAACACTAGAATGAGCATAAACCAAGGTTGCGATTTACCACCAAGTGAAGAATTGAAGAGAAAATGAAGGGAGAGTGAGCGAAACTCACTCTCATGCATGAAATCACAAAATGGAAAGTGTCGATTTACATGGGAGTGAAGGAATGGACAAAACAAGAGTGAAAGATCATCCAAAACACTAGAATGAGCACAAACCCAAGCTGCGATTTACTACCGAGTGAAGAAATGGAGAGAAAGTGAAGGGAGAACGAGTTTCACTCACTCTCATGCATGAAATCACAAAATGGAAAGTGGCGATTCACATGGGAGTGAAAGAATGGACAAAACATAAGTGCAAGATCATCCAAAACATTAGAATGAGCACAAACCAAAGTTGCGATTTACTACCAAGTGAAGAAATAGAGAGAAAGTGAAGGGAGAGTGAGTGAAACTCACTCTCGTGTATGAAATCACAAAATGGAAAGTGGCGATTCACATGGGAGCGAAGGATTGAACAAAACAAGAGTGAAAGATAATCCAAAACACTAGAAAGAGCATAAACCAAAGTTGCGATTTACTATCAAGTGAAGAAATGAAGAGAAAGTGAAAGGAGAATGAGTGAAACTCACTCTCATGCATGAAATCACAAAATGGAAAGTGGCGATTTACATGGGAGTGAAGGATGAGCCCATGGGAAGACCATTACTAGTGACAAAACCTCCTACTACCTACTCTAAGCTTTGGAAAGTACCTATGGAAAGAGAGAAGATGGGGAAGAAGAACAAAAGGGAATGTAGATGAGGGAACATGGAGGAGAAGGAGAAGAAGAAGGCAATGAAGGAAGGGGAAAGGAGGAAGAAGAAGAAAAAGCTTGAAGAAGAGGAAGAAGAAGAAAAAAAAGGAGAAGAAGAAGATTATCCTTCTTTCCACTCACCTCCTTTAGTATCTTGGAGTTGAAGTACTAATCTTGATGATGCTTTTCCCTCACTTGGTTATGGCTCCCTTCTTCCTCAAGCGTTCACCATTCTTATTTTTCAGTCCTCTCCTAACTATGGCAAACTCCTACCAACATGGATATTAAATCCTTCCCTCTAGGAGGGTTAATGAGACTCTATCTAGCCTTTCCCTCTTCCTCGCAGCTTGGGGACTATGGCGGATCACCTTCCTAGGCCAGCCTCACTACCACCAGCCTCGAAAGTTCCTCACACTAGTCCACAGTCTCCTCTAAGCTCCCAAACTGGCAGGGGTTCCCCCCTCCTTGGGCAGCATGGGCACACCTTATGAGGCTGGTGTTCATATGAGCTCACTTGGGCAGCATGGGCACACCTTATGCAAATATAGTGTGGCGGGCTGCTCCCTCAGCTTATGTAGGCTGAAACCGAAGTATCGATCAACCCATGAGCCTCCCCATGTGCCCCAAAGTGAACCGAGATACCCCCCTAGGCAAAAACCCACCACTAGGCCCCTCCGGGGGTACCTGGGCCTCATTTTGGCCAAGTACATGCAATCTGAGTGGTTGGTACCAACTCGGATTGCCTTTTGGCCTCCCTTGGCCGCCTTTTCTTTTTCAAATGCTACCCCTTTGAGTCCAAATGCCCAAGGGGCAGCCCCACTTGAGAGAAAAGGCCTAATGAATCTTTTTCTCGATTTTTTCAGTTTCTATCCCATTTTTAGTAGGCCAAGGTATTTTCTCATGCCTCGATGCTTTTCAGCCTTGGATCTGGCTGAGATCCAAGGCTAGCAATATTCCGAGCTACCCCTTGGTAATCCTTGCTTCAAATTTGAACCCCTAAGTTCATTTTTTCAGTTTTTGGTACATCTGACCCTCCGTTTGGGCCAAATGCACAGTTTTGTCTTTTTCTTTCTTTTGTTTCTTTCCATTTTGGGCTACCAACTCATTCCGGAGTTGGCCGTTTGAGTTGACCTCCTCAAAAACAGCCATATTCCCTCCTCCATGGATCTAAATCTCAAATCCATAGCCCAAAAGAAAACGGGTCATTTTCCTTTTGCGTTTTCTCTCAATTTTCCATTTTTAATTTAGATTTTCCAGAGATATTGCCCCAAGGGTCATATCTCTGCAATCCGGATTGCCCTCCACTAAATCTGGAGGGATGAGGTCACAATAGGGACCTGCCAGTCCCTACTATGCCAGTCCCAATAGGGCGGCACATGCTCCTCTACTCTTTTCTCCCCCTTTGTCTCATTCTTTCTCCATTTTCTCCCATTTTTCTTTTCTTTTCTATTATTTATGATGTGACAAGTGTCAAGTGGCTGTTGAGTCTTTTTCTAGGCCACGGATCCTCATCTATGGCCAGATTCAGACTCAGTATTTGACTGTTATATATCCGATTACAATAATGACGCCCCCATGCTTATGGGGGGCTTCATTTTGCCTTCGTTAATCTTAATTTTGAGCCCTCTCTGCTCCAATTTTCTTTTGATAGTCTTTTTTCTGTGTTGAGCCCCTTGGGGTTTTATTTTCTCATGCCTAGCTAGTCCGAGATGTCCCGGACTGCTGGGCAGCCCTTCCATCACCATTATTTTGCTTTATTTTCCCTCACGGCTCTCCCACTTGATCCCACTAGGGCTTGCACTAGTGGTGCTAATATTTTCCACCGTCTGGATCTTGATCTCGACGGTGTCATTTGCTTTGTACGACCATTCCTCATGTTGGCTCATGGTTCCCTTGGGACATCTCAAGTCCCCGCCACTCTCCCCGTACCAGTTTCATTGTTTTGTCCCGGCAGTAGTCCCACCAGCGCATGTTCCAATTTTCGCCTATTTTTATTTGGACCCATTTAGTCCCCGACATCGTCCCGAATGACGTCCCATTTTTATTTTGGGACTTCCTTGTCCCTGTCAGTTCCAATATCCCCTCCTCAAGTACCTTACGTGCGTCGATTATTCTCGACCGCGATATCCTCATCTTACGGTTGCCGTTTACCGTCTCTATTTGCCTTATGTCGAAGTCTCTTTTCTAGCCTTCTCGGTTTGCCATGGCTCATTTTCTCTTGGCCTAGGCATCCTTATGCAGCCCGTTATTTTTCGGACTGCAACTATGGCCATTCCCCTAGTCCCACAACCCCACAACTTGGCCCAAATTGAAAGAAAATGAAGCGCTCAATTTTCAAGTGCATACGGGCTCAATATTAGCTCCAGATGCACAAAAAACATGTGTTTTCTGTTCCCCACGCAGTCCGTTGTAACTCGGACTGCAGTAGGGGTCAATTTCCTAGCCCCATTGCTCCACAACTAACCCAAAAGTGAAGGAAAATGAAACGACCAACTTTCAAGTGCATCCGGGCTCAATATTGGCCCCGGATGTATCTAAAAACATGTGTTTCTCTTCCTCTATGCAATTCGCTGTATCTCGGTTGCATGAGGCCTTGATTTTTCTTGATTTTCTCTGTAAAATCAAAAGAAAATCAAGGCCCTTTGCAACCGCCATATTCCAAAATGTATCTGGTCACGGATGTATCTCGCCACGTGACCGTTTTTTACCGTTAAGGTTTTTTTCTCTTTTCTTCTATTTTCTTTTTTCTTCTTTTTTCTTCTCCCTCCCTTTTTGGATAGTAGGGCCTACCGGTCTTTACTTGTGGCAGTCCCTACTGACGGCCAACTCACTCACTCCTTCTCACTCCTTTTGTCTTATTCTCCCACCTTTTTCTTTTATTTTTCTTTCTTTTTCTAGCATGCAAGTGTCAAGTGGCCGTTAAGGCCTTTTCTAGGCCCTTCCTCTTAGTTTTGGCCCTCCTTATGCCCATGGCGCAGTCCGTTATATCTCGGATTGCAACTGTGGCTCCCTCATGCCCATGGGAGTCTCCCTTTACCTTTATTTTTCTCACACAGGGCCCCTCATACTTTGATTTTCTCCCGGAGGCTTATTTTTCATATGAAGTCTCTTTTGACTCCATTTTCTTGAGGGAGGCTGATCTGAGGTTTTCCGGATTGCTCCCATGCCTCCCCCTTCACGTTGCTTTACTTTTTCTTTTCCCTTTTGTCTTTCCGTTTGCTCCCACTAGTGCTTGCACTAGTGGTGCTAATATTTTTGGCCGTCAAGATCTTGATCTTGACGGTACACGTTGCTTTAATTATTTTTTCCTCATATCGCTCCACAATCCTTCTTGATGCCTTCTCATGTCCCCGCCTCTTGTCCCGCGCTAGTCCTCGGCACTTGTCCCACCTGGTGGTCCCGCCAGTACTTATCCCGCTGGCGGTCCCACCGACACTTGTCCCGCCGGTGGTCCCGTCAATATTTTGTCCTGGATACCATTATTTTTACTTAAGCCCCACGTGGTCCCTGATACTTTTCCTCATGGTGTCCCAGTTTCTTTTGGGGTCTACCGCCCTATGGTGGCTCACTTTCTCTGTCTTTTCTCGAGCCTTGCGCGTGTCGGGCCTCCGCAAGTCAATATTTTGTCCTGGATACCATTATTTTTACTTAGCCCCACGTGGTCCCTGATACTTTTCCTCATGGTGTCCCAGTTTCCTTTGGGGTCTACCGCCCTATGGTGGCTCACTTTCTCTGTCTTTTCTCGAGCCT